TACCTTTTCAACACCAAATTTGTTTTTATATTAAGGGGCATCAAATTTTTTGAGGTGTCCAGGTGGGGCATGTAGCAAAAAGGTTAAGAACCACTGATCTAAGGTTTTGATTAAAGATGTCATGAAAGAATGCTATTCAGCATCACTTGATGTTGAATATTTAACTCTTAATGAATAACTGCTGGGGAAGTTCATTGTGAAATACCTTTTTAAATTAATTGTTATTAAGGTTAAACATGGAAGCACTCAGTACATAACTGGATCAAGGTATACAAAATATTTTTATTTCATACTGATGAACTTACTTTAAAAGTAAAGAAAATATTAAAGTATTTACAGGGCATTCATTTTTTAAGTGATAAACCTGTTTAGGATAAAGAAATTTGAACTTTAGTAAAAATTAAAATAATTTTGAACTCAGTGTGTTTTTTATCTTTCAACTTTTTGAAAATTTACATTTGATGCAATATTAGTTCTTGTAACTTTGATTTTAAGTATTTTTCAGAATGGAAGATTTCAAACAAATACATTTTGCCTTTATGCTTGTATAAACTTTTTGTGTAAAGTATACTTCTGGAGAATAATTTCTGTTTTCAACAAATAAAATGTATCATCTGATATTTCATAGTTAGTTTTGATTATTAAGTCTAAAACATTAAGATTGCAAAATTTCATCTCAAATGATGTTTTATTTGTATGAAATTGAATTCAAATCGTTAATTAGTTGTTTAAGTCTTTAAATACTACTATGAGCAAATTTTTGTGTAAATATTAAGTTATTTATATATAGCCTTACACACTTGAAAATATAACCAAACTTTCACCAGTTCTTCATGAAACTTTGTTTATTTACAATATAGGCCAAGAACTTGTATAATTTCATAACCTAAGGTTATATTAAGAGCATAGAGATTTCATAGTTTTTCAAATTTATGTTATTCTAATTGTGTAAGCTTACCAGCATAAAACATAAATACATGGTAAACACTGTGTGTCATTTGTGTACATATATGCAGTTAAAACATTATTATAGTTCTTTCTTTTCTGTTTTCTGATCAAATTTAAAATTAACATGAAAGATTGCAATTGATTTTTGTTTATAGTTTGTATTTGATATTTGTTTAATTCAACATATGTAGTTTTGAGTTTGTATATATTTTTGTTCTGAATTTTATTTGGAAAACAACACAATAATTTTCTTTTGACACTGTTATAACTTAGATCTTTGAAATCTGTTTAAATTATTATTTATCAAAATGTTGAACTATGGTTTTTGTTTAAATCGAACTTATTATGGTGGTGATAGAGCACAGTTAGTGTTATATCTGCAGTTTGAATTTTAGATTTTGCATCAATAATCATTCTTGCGCAGCTTTATGGTACACGAGTCTTTTAAAATGAACAAACATCCAAATAACATACATGTAGGTATGGAGTTTTTCTGTGTTCCTGTATATGTGTAGAGTTTACTAAGGAATAATGCACAATGAGCACAGAGTTTGAAACATTAGCACAAAATTAACTGTAGTTTAGATGCTTTAACTACAAGATAATGTGACTGTATTCCTTCTGGAATTAATATTCCTACATGTTTTGAACTAAATGCACCGCTGAAAGCAAAACTGACATGTACAATATCTTGAATTATTATAAAAAGTGCAAAGTGGTATCAAAGTGTATTTCGGATAATATTTTGTATGTGATATCTAGTGATACCACAAGAGAGTTTGATAAAATATTGGCTAATAATTTGTTTTTGTGAGTTTATTCTACTATTCTGTTAACAACTTTAAAATGTTTACTGTTTTGTTGAATAATATGACCAAACATCAAAACATTTTAAGAGAACTGTGCAATTTTATCATTCCTATCAATTTTTGTTGTAGCTGTGATTCTTTAATCTTGTAACTCTTGCAAATGCTTCTTAGCTCCCTTTACACTAGTCTGTATATGTAAGCAGAAATAACAAATTTGTGTATTATGTAATGTGAACAATGGTGGTCTACTTCATGTAAAGGGGTAGAGATTATGGGAATTTTAAAAGCTAACACTGTGATACACTGGCTATTTTACAGATATATATTGAATAACCTTACATAGACTGCTTCTGGACAGGTAATTTCATCTTGTTTTATCAATGAAAATCTTCCAAATATTGGTAAAACAGGTAAATGATTTTCACATTTTCAACTTGGATAAGTAAAGTAACATCTTTTAAGATGTTGTTAGAAGTTATTTAGTTAATAAGAATGGTTAGAAGTAAACAGATTCAAAGCAAATGTAAAATTTTCTTTTTAGATAAAGTTTCATATTTGGAACAGGGGCCATTTAATGTTCTAGATTGCCGGTAAGCATTTCACTACACACAGCAATATTAACCTGTCATTCACATTCTATGATATAGTAGCTTTACATTTGTTTTGATGCATAACTTTCTTGGTTGTCAAAAAAATATAAACGTAAACTATGGCAGACTTGTATTCTAGAGTAACAAGTTATTTGTGGTTTAAAAAGTAATTTACAGACATCATTTAATAAGTGAAGAATTACTGCAGGATGATGATACTTCAATCTATGTAATTTTTAAATTGTAAAGTGGTGATTTTTTTTCATTGTTTACAGCATAAATTGGTAAGAAACATAATATCAAAATTTAAGATTTTGTATCATACATTGTAGCCTCAGTTCTCTGAATTATACTGCATTGAAAAAAAATATAGTAGTGCATAGAGCATTAGAAGCCACCAAATCATTTAGAAAGTGATTTGTTAATACAAACAAGACTTCATTAATGACAGATAACAAGTGTTTTCTTGTGAGTATTAATTATATGATTTAAATTTTGTTTATGACACAGGTGAAAAGATCAGAAATAATCTAGTGTAGTAATGTAACAGCATGAGATTTATCTTTTGGTTTCATTGATTTATTTTGTGTATGTGTGTCCTGCAGGAGGAAAGAAATACAACGATATACATATGAGATGGTCCAGATATGGTACTGCATAAACTCCTGTGTAGTTCCTTAATATTTTACTTGTAGATATTATCTATCTTAGGGGTATCATACCCAAAGCAAGTTAATATTTTCAAAGGGTGAATAAAGCATAGTCTTATCTAATTCTGCTTATCAGTTCATGCAGGAAAAACAGAAAACACAAATTTTCAAGTAACACTTCCTTTTCTTCATCAAATCTTCCATCCTCAGCAT